CAGCAGGAGGTAAAGTCATTTTTTAGATTCTCTTTGAAAACTTAAAGAGAAGGTGAAGACAATTTGGTAGCAATTTATCAAATTGAATAATTATTTTATCTTGGCACTAAATTATCATGTAGTGTGTCTCTGTTGTCTTAATTCATTGTCTGACATGATGAAATATATTGGGTTGGCCAAAAAGTTCCTTTGGTTTTTAAGTTAAAAAAAAAAGACACATTTTACATTTTTCACCAAGAACTTTACTGAACAACATATTCACTGTTTTGTTCCACTACCTTCTGCCATTTTTCAGGCAACTTGATAATTCCATCTTCCCAAATTTTTACCTTTATGAGCAAAGAACTGTTCTAGGTACCTTTTACAGTCTTCCAGGGAATTGACATTTTTTCCATTAAGAGAATTTTGTAAAGACTGAAATAAATGGAAATCCGAAGATGCTATGTCTGATGAATATGGCGGATGAATCAGAACTTCCCAGCCAAGCTGTAAGAGTTTTTGCCTGGTCATCAAAGAAACATGCAGTCTTGTGTTATCCTGATGGAAGATTATGCGTTTTCTGTTGACTAATTCTGGACGCTTTTGGTCGAGTGTCACTTTCAGTTGGTCTAATTGGGAGCAGTACTTGTTGGAATTAATCGTTTGGTTTTCCGGAAGAAGCTCATAATAGAGGACTCCCTTCCAATCCCACCATATATGCAACATCACCTTTTTTGGATGAAGACCGGCCTTTGGTGTGGTTGGTGGTGGTTCATTTCTCTTGCCCCAGTGTTTCTTCCGTTCCACATTATTGTGCAGTATCCGCTTTCCATCGCCCGTCACAATTTGTTTTAAAAACGTAACGTTTCCGTTATGTTTCAGTAGAGAACTGCGTGTGGAAATACGGTCAAGAAGGTTTTCTTCGCTTAACTTATATGGAACACAAACATCAAAGCGATTAACATAACCAAGCTGGTGCAAATGATTTTCAACGCTTGATTTGTGTATTTTGAGAATGTCAGCTATCTCCCGCGTGGTACAACGTTGATTGTTCTCATTTAGTATCTTGATTTGATTGCTGTCAACTTAAACTGGTCTACCCGACCATGGGGCATCATCCAGGGAGAGATCTCCAGCATGAAACTTCGCAAACCACTTTTGACATGTTTCATCAGTCACAACACCTCCATACACTGCACGAATCTTCTTTTGCGTTTCAGTTGCATGTTTACCTTTCTTGAAATAATAAAGCATAGTATGCCAAAAATGTTGCTTTTTTCTTCTATCTTCAATATTAAAATGGCTACACAAAAATTCACTAATTTTGGTAAGTTCTTTTTAAACGCACGCTGATATGACAGCTGTCACAATACAATCTAACAAAATTGTTCCGAATGAAGTTAAAGACAACTAAGTGCTACTAGAGCCATCTTATGGAAAAAAAAAACGCCGAACACACCTTTTGGCCAACGCAGTATTACCTAAATATGTATTGAAAGTTCATAAGCATGTGGGTTTATGTATACATATATAGCTCATATGAAAATAAACTATACCATGTAGATATTAGTAGTTCCTAAGTATTTAAATGCTAAAAATAACCTGTATTAGTATATATATGTGTGTGTACATGTGTGTAGTCATAAGAACAAATATTAATAGGGTAATATTTTTTGCTTCTTTAGTTCTTAGAGTAATAATAAACATGTCATACTGCAAAGAGTATAACTGCTTTAAGTACAGGAATCATGGTATATTCTATTTTTGATATCCTGTGTTTTATGTTTTCTTATATTCATTATTTTATACTTTATATTCTTTCCTCCACCTTTCTTTCCCTGCATACAATGCTGTGATTAAGAAAAAATAGGCTTCTAAGTTTATATACCTATAATATATCTCTAAGTACTTAATGTTTCACTGAATATATAAAGTTAATGGATTATGTATTTTTCTTTTCTAGACTCTAAAAAAAATGAATGCTATGCTGGACAAAATGCCTCAAGATGCCAGGAAAATACTCTCTAATGAAGAAATGTTAATTCTCATGTAATAATTTGTACTATATTTCTTTAATTAGTGGTTCAAGTCAAGAATTTAAAGGATGTTTTATAAGGCAAATAAGGCAACCATCAGTTGCATTAAGAATTAAAACTGATAAACTCTTGTAGGTTTCTAATATAATTTATATATATGTTTTCTGCCAAAATCTGTGATACTAATCAATTGTAAATTTTGGTGAAGTTTTTTTCCCCCAAACATATGAGCTTTCTAGTTAATTGATACTTGTCTAGTATATAACCTGTTGTTTTGATTCACAGGAGTAGTATGGGAGAAAGGATTTTAGATGCTGGAGGTAAGTCTGTTTTTTTTCTAAATGTTCATATTTGAAATTACTCCAAATTTTTTAATAGACTATAATATCTAATTAGTCAAAATAATATTAACATTGTAATGTAGTGAAATTATAAACTAAACTAAAAAAATAAAAATAAGTATGATAACAGGAGTTGTCAAATATAATTTGTGCCTAGTGGTAGGTTTTTGAATAATAACTTAATTTTCAAGTAGATTTGGATTCCTTTTGTGAAGAAATTTCTTAAATGTATTTTATGAAATTAGGAGGTTTAATATTCTTGGGATTGATAGATTTGTTTGTAAACAATGTTTTTATTAGAAGAGCTCAAATTTTCTTTCCTAAATTTCATATGAGAAAATTTTGATGTAGTGATTTACATATAGAACAAACCACTGGTTTAAAGTACTTTAAAATAACTGTAAATATCATGATATGCAAAAGGAAAACAAAGATTACCTGTGATTTATAGACTTTTCTATGAGTTATTTTGCAATTCACAACTCTAATAATGGAATGGAGGAATCTTTGAACATTTAGGAGTTTCTTTTAAATATCCTTAAAAATATTTTTTTACTCCTTTCTTCTATTAGTAAACTTATTTTGTTATTTGGGCTATATTCATGCCTGTAATGATGAGATGTTTCTAATCTCTATGAAGAAAATGGCAAAAGATGAGTAAATTACACTACGTTCCTTATTACTCTTGCTTGTTCTAACAATTTATGAAATGTATTGACTTTCATAAACTTTAATTTTCATAATTTCAAATAATACATTAATTTTTTTTTTAAAGACTATGACCTACAAGTGGCTATCGTAGAAGCTTTATGTAGAATGACCACAGAAAAACAAAGACAAGAACTGGCATGTCAGTGGTTTTCAATGGATTTTATTGCTAATGCATTTAAAGGAATTAAAGTCTCTGAATTTGAAACAGTAAGTAGTGTAAAAATAACAAATTAACAAGTTTTTAAAAATTACTATGTTTTTTAAAAGCTCTCTCTTTTTTAAAAATTAGGATTGCAGGATATTTCTCAACCTTGTAAATGGCATGCTTGGAGACAAAAGAAGGTAAACAATGCAAAATACAACCATTTAATGATAAAGAAACAGAGCTCAAGAAAGGGCACACAATGGTAGGCTGAAATAATCCTCCACTGGTCTTATTTTGCTTTGTACTTTTTAGAGGAAAGAATACATTTTTATTTAATTAATATTAATTAATAACTTTGTCTAAAATTGGTTTACTGTATTTCAGAATTGCATATATATTATAAATTTGGTGTTTAAGGAACAATAAAAATCTAGGTATATAAATATTACTTGAGCTACCTCCTTCGTACACATACTGGAATAAAAATATATAGCAAACATAAATCATCTTCTTTTATAATTAACATATTGTAAGGATGTTCTTTCTGCAGTTATTTAATCTCAAGAATGGTCATGGAAAGCTAGGTAATATAAATTTTTATCACTTTTGACAATGACAGAAGAGGTATTTTTGTAGTGCAGTGCCTGGCACCTTATAGGTGTTCAGGACACATTGGATTGAATGAGTTCACATTTAGTTTACCTGCTAAGGAAATGAAAGAAAGGGTGAGGGTTGTGTGCAGGGAGTCACACTATTTGGATTTGAATAACAGGTCCCCCTCTTCCTGTTCTAATGTTGGACAAGTTATTTAACCTTACTTGCCTCAGTTTCCTTAACTGTAAAACAAGAATACTAATAATACCTACCTCACATGTTTGTTGTGAAGATTAAATGAGATGGTTATACACTTAGTACTTATAGTAGTATCTGACCAAGAAAGTCTTCAATGAATTCAGCCATTTTTATTAGCAGTATTATTCACTTCTACTTTTCTTTTCCCATATAATCTTATGGGAACTTCCACTGTATCAATATCACTAGTATAAGCAAAATTAGGAATCTCTGTTCATAGTCAATAACATGAAAAGTAATTTGGTTCAGTCACTTTAGTCAAAATGGTAGGTTGAGTAGTATCCTCAAAGTAATATGCTGTCTTTCGGAAACAGATTTCCCGTGAACTCTCACTTTAAAGAGTAATAAAGAAGGAAATACGATTTTATTTAAATTGTTGTCACTACTGCCTGATTTCCTTTTGATCCTACGTGTGATTTGTATGGCAAGTCAAAATTATGCTGTGAAGGCTTATTAATTTTTTCTTTAATTCAGACTACTTTTTATTTCAGGGTCTTTACATTTCCTTGTTTATCAGCATTTCTTGATAAATATGAGGTAAATTTTAAATTTAGTATGTGTTTTAGTTATTAGATGAATTTTTATGCAAAGGTCAAGTGAATTGTAGGTTACAAATTGACAAGAACATTAATGTTAGTCATAATTAGATCACAGATAGAGCTGGTCTGGTATTCTGGATCTAAGTGACATTTTATGAAATGGCACATTTGTAGCCAAGGATAAGTGAAATATAAAGGTTGTACTTCAAATTTTCTTATGTTTCCTTAATCAAGCCTGTTATTGTTTATCATTCATGAATATATTCAAACATGAAAATATTTTCAACCTTTTTTGTACTTGGAATATTTGTGATTATTTGGAGCTAGCTAATTTCTATGTAAAATATTAAGCAGCATTTCTTTTGATTGTTTCTAAATTGATTTAAATGCTGTACTTGCCTGCTCTTTATCTTCCCATACCTTCCGGCTCTACTCTTTTGTTTTTTAAAAAAACTCAACCATGAATATAACATCATAATTTTCTGTTGTCACTTTTAAAAGCATAGTATATTCTAGTTTTATATGTTTATTTTATTAGTTGCAAATACCATCAGATGAAAAACTTGAGGGATTTTGGATAGATTTTAATCTTGGGAGCCAGACTGTATCATTCTACGTTGCTGAAGACGATGTAAGCTTTAGATACCTCTGTACCATTTTATGTGTGTGTGTGTGTGTATGTGTGTATATAATGTTGTAATTCATCTTAAGAATATGGATTTCTTTGATATTTATTTTCTCGCTATTTTAATAGATTTCAATGTTAGCTCTAGTAGTTTTGATGAGCAAGGTAACCTATCAAGTTAATTAGAAATGAAAATTATTTCTGATGTCTTATTGCAAGAGAAAAATGCTAAAATTTAATACTAGTGTTTAAATATGAGCTTTTCAGAAGTTAATTACATGTTAATGATTAAAATTTAACATTCACATGAACAAAGTGAATTGAATCTAGAAAAGACAGCAGTTACTCCAGTACAGAAGCACTCAGTTAAAAATAACATTAACAGATGATGACAAATGGTCTTATCTTATTCTTTCATAGAATCTTCTGTTTGAAAATAGTGAGGGATTAATTCTTTTTCTGTTTGTTTGTTTACATCTTTATTGGAGTATAATTGCTTTACAATGGTGTGTTAGTTTCTGCTGTATAATAAAGTGAATCAGCTTCACGTATACATATATCCCCATATCCCCTCCCTCTCTCGTGCGTCTCCCACCCCTCTAGTTGGTCACAAAGCATGGAGCTGATCTCCCTGTGCTTTGCAGCTGCTTCCAGCTAGCTAGCTATTTTACATTTGGTTGTGAGGGATTCTTATGGTGGTACTTAGAAGTGAATTTTAGTTCTTTTCTTTCTGTGCTATATTGTAACTATGTTTAAACTTTGCAACCAGGCAGGTATGTTTTCTACTGACCTCTTTAACCTGAGGAAAATTCTTGAGGCCTTGTTTCCAAATAGCCACCACTTAATATTTGCTACATTTGCATACTTCTAGCTCAAACTGTGTGGCCAAGATCTGAGTAAGAGTTGATTTGCATTTACTAATCTGATTGCAGCTGCTGATAATACAAAGAGGCTTTAGTCTTTTTAGTCTCTCTCTTGTAAAATCCTGCCTTTTGTTCCAGGTAAACTCTTTGTAGACGAACATTAACCAAATGCCTCTTAGGATTTTGACGTACCTTTATTTCTTTTTAGAGCACCTTTATAGAATATGCTTAATTAAAATTGAGCTCCAGAAACTAGCACTGCTTCTCAGGGGTACTGATGGTTTTCATTAGTGTATTTATTCTTGCAGCGTTTTTAGGTGTATTTTTAACTGGATTTTCTTCAGGAAGTGGACTTTCATTTTGGGAAAAGAGGATAGAATAGGACTGATGTGGTTCCTGACTTCACTCACTTGGTCTAATGGATGATTCAGACAAGGAAATAAGTAATTTTAGTATTATACTTGATAGGGATAGTATAAAATGCACTTAGAAGTATTAAATGCCTCCTATGTTCCTGTCACTGATCTAGAGATGCTGGGAGAGAGTTCCTCCCACAGAGATATTTAGACTCCTCTCCCCTCTGGATTTCTATAGCAGTAGTGCATTTCTCCCTGTCTTCAGGCTTACTCTCCTCAAAGCCATTCTTCCATATTGTGGCTGCTTAAAACCCTCCCTTTGTCTCTTTAACATGGTGTTTGAGGGCCTTTATGACCTGGCCCCTGACTATTTCTCTGATAATCAGACTGTTCTCTGTGCTTACTGTGTTCTAGCCACATTCATTTTTTTTTTCTTTTCCTCTAGATCATGCTCTTTTCAAGTCTTTCTATTTGCTGGTTCTTCTGCTTAGGAACCTCCAGATCTTTGCGTCTTAGTTCCTTCCGAGTTAGATTTCAGCACAAATGTCACCTCCTTATAGAGGTATTCTCTGGTAACTCAGTCTGAAGTAGCCACCCAGCCACATTATATCACACTGGCCTCTTTTTTTCTTTTATAGTAGTTATTGCTACTTAAAATCCTTTTGTTTATCTGTTGTTTTTTCTGTTTTCCCTCCCGTAGAACATAAAATTTATTAAACCAGGGACATGTCTTTTCTCACTTATGGCTATTCAAGGGCTCATATTTATTTTGAGAATGAATATATAGAATGCTCAAAGAACTAAAAGATACATAGTATGGTTAGTGCATAGAGTTCAAAGGGTATTGGAAAGAAATAAGGCAGGCAGTATAGAGCCAAAGAAGGATTATAAGTAGGAGGCAACATCAGTTCAGTGAATATTTAATAAGAACTTACTGTGTGCCAGATATATGCTAGACACTGAGCATCACATTCATGTAAAAGATTCTCCTAGTGGGGATGATCTCGGAGAGGCAGCAGTGAGTGGTGGCATGAAGTGAGATCTTAATTCCCTGCCCAGGAATTGAACCTGGGTAGCCTGGATGAAAACCAGGAATTCTAGCCACCAGACCCCGTGGCTCTTGCCCCCAGTGAAAAATGCATTTCTTACGGAGGCTTTCGGAGGGAAAAAAAAAAAAAAAAAAAAAAAAAAAAAAAAAAAACAGGTACAAAGTTTATTATTTAGACACATAGCACAACTAGTGGGAGAGCACACAGAGAAACACTTTGTTTAGTTAAGATGGAAACAAACAAGGCAGAGATGCACACCGGGAGAGCAAGGGTGTGGGCCTCCTCCCTAATGAGGAGGAGCGCAGTAAAGAGGTGGTTAAGTCATTTCTATAGGGCAGTTCTTCCGGGTCTTTGCTTACCTTTGGCCAATTATCTGGTTTCTCAACACCTGACTTGCCCTAGGACCCTCCCCGAGGTGCATGCGCAACTTTTTTCCAAGATGGATTTCAGCCCATAGGCCTAGGGGATGGCCTTAGCATCACATATTATGGGGTGGTGCCCCCTCCTTTTTTTTTTTTTCCTTGCGTTATGCGGGCCTCTCACTGTTGTGGCCTCTCCCATTTGCGGAGCACAGGCTCCGGACGCGCAGGCCCAGCGGCCATGGCTCACGGGCCCAGCCGCTCCGCGGCATGCGGGATCCTCCCGAAACGGGGCACGAACCCGCGTCCCCCGCATCGGCAGGTGGACTCTCAAGCACTGCGCCACCAGGGAAGCCCTGCCCCCTCCTTTTTGAACCCCAAGGAGCCTTTCTGTGCATGTGCAATGTTTCCCTTGCACCAAGGATGGGAAATGCATGATGTCTTGATCTTTTAACAGGGTTTAGCCCCTCTCTGTCCCTGCCATAAAAGTGTCCAATGTCCAGTTATCTACCCTATTCCTGTTGTTGTTTCTTATATTGAAGTGCAGATCTCGAAGTATAGAGTGGAGTCCGGTCATAAATATGTAGTCCGGAGCCAGTTTGTCTCTTGCCTCAGGAAATGTAAACATGGGGGTTGGGGGTTGTAATGAATGTCCAGCCTGGAGCCCATCTTCTTCTCATCCCAGGAAGTTGGAACAGGAGGCCAGTTGTAAATGTCTAGCTTGGGGCCCATCTATCTCCTGCCTCAAGGAGAACAGATTAAAAAGGGACAAGATCAGAGGCAGTTAGGAGACTTGCAGTAATCCAGGTGAGAGAAATCATGGTGGCACAGTTTTGGAAAGTGACAGTGGGGATGGATGGAAATGGATGGATTCCAGAAAAACTTGAGGAGGTAGAATTGAGCAGACTTGGTAGTTTGTAGTAAAAAGAGGAAGGATTAATAAAACTTGGGTAACTGGATGGATGAAGATGCTGTCACAGGAGGATCAGTTTTGTAGGGTAAGATGATGAGCTCAACTTTGGATGTTTTGATTTGGAGATGTTTGTGGCGTATTCAGCTGAAGATACCTTGTAGGCAGTTGGATATATTGGTCTGAAGTTGAGGTGAGAGAACTGAGCTGTAAATGGAGATTTAGAAGCTCTGTGTATATAGATGATAAATAAAATCATGGGATTTAATGAGTATCTACATGACAGAACTGTGAAAAACACAAATTTATACAGGATAGGTAGAAGAGACTCTAGCCTGAAGGATACTTGACGAATCAGCCAAAAAAGAACAAATTAAAAGGGTATCATGTCATAGAAGACAAAGGAAGGGTGTTTTATGAGCGGAAATGATGAACACTGTCAAAACACGTTAAATAAATAAAAACTGGCCATCCATGAAAGAGCAATTTCACTTAAGTGAGAGGATTTAG